TCCCATTACTGGGTATATATCCAGAGGATTATAAATCGTTCTTTTATGAGGACACACGCACACGAATGTTCATTGCAGCACTGTTTACAATAGCAAAGGCTTGGAACCAACCCAAATGCTCATCAATGATAGACTGGACACGGGAAAAATGTGGCACATATACACCTTGGAATATTATGCAGCCATAAAAAACAATGAGTTCGTGTCCTTTGTAGGGACATGGATGAACCTGGAAACCATCATTCTCGGCAAACTGACACGAGCAGAAAATCAAACACTGCATGTTCTCACTCATAGGCGGATGTTGAACAGTGAGAACACATGGGCACAGGGAGGGGAGCACTACACACTGGGGTCTGTTGGGGGGAACTAGGGGAGGGACAGCGGGGGAGTGGGGAGTTGGGGAGAGATAGCATGGGGAGAAATGCCAGATATAGGTGAAGGGGAGGAAGGCAGCAAATCACAGTGCCACGTGTGTATCTTTGCAACAATATTTCATGTTCTTCACATGTACCCCAAAACCTAAAATGCAATTTAAAAAAATACAAAAATTAGCCAGGTGTTGTGTCAGGTGCCTATAATCCCAGCTACTCAGGAGGCTGAGGCAGGAGAATTGCATGAACCCTGGAGGTGGAGGTTTCAGTGAGCCAAGATTGCACCATTGCACTTAAGCCTGGGCAACAAGAGTGAAACTCTGTCTCAAAAACAAAAAAGAAATTAAATTAAAAAAAATAAGCTAGAGAGTTTTGAGATTACATGGAAATGCTACTACTGTATTAAAGAAAAAAAATTTTTCTTTGAGACAGTCTTGCTCTGTTGCCCAGGCTGCAGTGCAGTGGTGTGATCTCAGATCACCAGAACCTCTGCCTCCTGAGTTCAAGTGATTCTCCTCAGTCTCCCGAGTAGCTGGGATTGCAGACACACACCCCTGCACCCAGCTAATGGTTGTATTTTTAGTAAAAATGGGGTTTCACCATGTTGGTCAATCTGGTCTCAAACTCCTGACCTTGTTATCCACTTGCCTTGTCCTCCCAAAGTGCTGGGATTACAGGCATGACCCACTGCGCCAGGCCAGAAGTTATTATTATTATTTTTTTAATACCTCCTTAGTGATAGGAGAGTCTTCTGGGGATGATATAAACTGTTCAGGTGGTTTCAGAAAAAAAAAAACTTTAGAAGCCCCTGTTGAGAACAAAGATAAATGAATATGGAGCAGCCCCTTGTGCCAAGGGCACTTTCCCAATGAGGAAGATCCACCATGAGTTGAACAACTGCATATAGGTCTTTGCAAAGCAAGATAATTTGACAGTAATACAAGTAATCTGATAGTAAAACTAGAAAGTGGTTTCTAGATGCTAAGTCCAGGAAGAGCTATTTTCCACAGATTCTCCCTGTTTGTAGTCTTAACTTTCAAATGTGAGGCATTAAGGCATGTAAGTCAGAACTGATCAACCATGTTCCAACTGTTTAGGAGAACTGTGGGAGTGTAGCTTTCATACTATTGTCTTTGCCTCATCTTTCAGCTCAATCATCCAGAATTTGTGGAAGGCCTTGTGCTCATTAATATTGACCCTTGCGCTAAAGGCTGGATTGACTGGGCAGCTTCCAAAGTAAGTACCACATGAAGGTGTCCATCAGCTTTTCTTTGCCCCTCTCGAAACAGCTTACCTATTTTTCATTGAGGTATATATACAGGTAAGGGTAGAAATGTTAAGTATGTAACTTGAAGAATGTTTACATACATTATCACCATCCAATCAAAATATGGAATGTTTCCAGCTCACTCGGGGATTCCCTTGTATCTTTTCCTAATTGATACTTCCTCTCCTTCCCAGAAATAACCAATTCTGACTTTTGTCACCAGAGATGTTTTATCTGTTTTTAAAGACTTTTATCTGTTAAATTGGAATCATAGAAAATGTATTCTTTTCTGTCTGGTTTCTTTCATTCATCACAGTGTCTGTGAGACTCATCCAAGTTATGTGTAGCAGTAGTTCTAAATTACAATTGGGCTGAGCGTGGTGGCTCACACCTGTAATACCAGCACTTTGGGAGGCTGAGGTGGGCAGATCACCTGAAGTCAGGAGTTTGAGACCAGCCTGGCCAACATGGTAAAACCCCATCTCTACTAACAATACAAAAATTAGCCAGGAAAGGTGGCGGGCACCTGTAATCCCAACTACTCGGGACGGAGACGGGAGAATCACTTGAACCTGGGAGGCGGAGATTGCAATGAGCTGAGATCGCGCCATTGCACTCCAGCCTGGATGACAAAAGTGAAACTCCGTCTCAAAAAAAAAAAATTATAATTTAACCTTAGTTCCAAATTATTGTTTAGTAACCTATTGTGTGAATACACAGAATGAGTTGTTTCTGTTATTTGGATCTTATGAGTAAAGCTGCTGTGCATATTCCTTATGTCTTTCAGTAGACATACATGTTTATTCCTCTTGGGTTTATACCTGTGAGTGAAATTGCTGGGTCATAGGGCAGTTGTGTAGTTTTTTTGTTTGGTTTTTTTTGTTGTTTTTTTTTTTGAGACGGAGTCTCACTCTGTCGCCCAGGCTGGAGTGTAGTGGTGTGATCTCAGCTCACTACAACCTCTGCCTCCTGGGTTCAGGCAATTCTCCCTCAGCCTCATAAGTAGCTGGAACTACAGGTACGTTCCACCACGCCCAGCTAATTTTTTTGTATTTTTTTAGTAGAGATGGGGTTTCACCATGTTGACCAAGCTGGTCTTGAACTCCTCACCTCGTGATCCGCCCACCTCGGCCTACCAAAGTGCTGGAATTACAGGCATGAGCCACTGCGCCTGGTCAGGGCAGTTGTATGTTTAGCTTTAGTAGATACTGTCAGTTTTCCAAAGTATTTGACCAAGACCAGGCATGGTAGCTCACACCTGTAATTCCAGCACTTTGGGAGGGTGAGACAGTAGGATCATCTGAGGTCAGGAGTTCAAGACTAACCTGGCCAACATGGCAAAACCCTGTCTCTACTAAAAATAGGAAAATTAGCTAGGGTGTGAGGGCATGGTGGTATACATCTGTAATCCCAGCTACTCAGGAGGCCGAGGCAGGATAATTGCTTGAACCCAGGAGGTGGAGGTTGCAGTGACCCGAGATCACACCACTGCATGCCAGCTTGGGCAAAAGAGTAAGACTGCTTGTCTCAAAAAAAAATAAAATAAACTGTTTTCAAAGTATCTGACCATTTACACACCAGCAGTGTGTGAAAGTTCCAGTTGCTCCACATCCTCACCAACATTTGATATTACAGGTACTTTTAATTTTAGTAAAAGACGAGCAGTTTTAATATTTTAATATACATTATTTTTACATTTTCCATCACCAAAATAGCTTTAGTCATTAAAATAACAATTTTTAATTATATCATCTTTTAAATTTTAAGCTATGCTATAGGTAGATAATCCTGGGTTTTAATTTGTATCTCCCGAAGGGTAAGTGATATCAAACTTATTTTCTTGAATATCCTCCTGTGAAGTGCTTGTTCAAGTCTTTTGCTCTCACCCTCATTCCCCTCCGCACTTCAGAAAATATTCTGGATTGGGTATGGTGGCTCACGCCTATAATCCCAACACTTTGAGAGGCTGAGGCAGGCAGATCATGAGGTCAGGAGTTCAAGACCAGCCTGACCAACATGTTGAAACCCTGTCTCTACTAAAAATACAAAAATTAGCTGGGTGTGGTGGTGCACACCTATAATCCCAGCTACTCAGGAGGCTGAGGCAGGAGAATCACTTAAACCCAGGAGACGGAAACTGCAGTGAGCCTAGATTGCACCACGGCACTCCAGCCTGGGCAATAGAGCAAGACTCAGTCTCAAAAAAAAAAAAATTCTGTATGTGAGTCCTGGGTACATGGACTCACAGGGATCTTCTCCTAGTCTATAGTTTGCATTTTCACTTTCTTAACGAAATGAATGGATCACTCTACAACGAACCCCAACACCGTATCTGGGCTACTGCTTCCAAAGACATGTGGATTGCTGATGTTTGCCAACTGAAAAATGAAGGAATTTAACCTCTAAAATCTATTAAGGAGATAGGAAACTAAAGGGGAATGCTAATGACTTTACAAATATAAGCACTCCTAGTCCTAAACCAGAGTAAAAAATGGGTGATTCTGTTGGCAAAGGATATTTTTTAAAAAGAAAAAAGTGGGAATAAGGAAAAAATTATATCCTTTGTGTTACAGGATCTCTGGGGTGTCAATTTTTCTAGCTGGAAACATAACACCTTTGTTTGAGTTTCTGTCCTGCATCCAGGAAGAATGAGGTACACAGACAAATGAAGGGTGAAGAAGAGTTTTATTTAGTGTTAGAATAGCTCAGAGGAGTGGGTAGCTCCTCTCTGTAGGCAGGTTTTCCAGTCGAGTGTTCAGCTCTTAGCAGGCAGGAGGCCCTGGAGAGGGTGGCTCCTCTCCACAGGCAAGTCATTCTGATGTCTCTGCAGGTTTCTGAAGCTCTCAGCAGAGAGGATAGCTCTTCTCTGCTGACAGGTCATTTCTGTAGCTCCAGTGGAGAGTGTTTTCCTCTCTGCAGCTGGTTGTCCAGCCTCTGTCTTCTTATCCTTTGGTTATCCTCTACCCTGCTCTGGCTGAGGCCAGGGCTTTTATGGACCTCAGAAAGGATGAAATGCACGCTGACTGGTCCGTGGGCAGGCCAGGAAGAGGTGTCACAAGTCCCCACTCCAGTCCAGGGTCCTAGCAGTCCAGACCCCAGACTTCAGGGTCTCCTTGCTCTGAGGGTGGGGCCTTACTGGGGACCCTGCTCCCTTCTACCCAGGACTCCATCTGCCTCCTACTGCCATTCATGGCCCCAGTGCATGGCAGGGTCCTTCCTGGGGTGCCCAAGAATGCAGGCTGCAGAGATTCCCCAGTCCTGCCACCGCAGCTGCATCTGGGAGCTCCTACCCCACCAACTCAGAAGGGGCAGGGCTCCCGCTTGTCCCCTGCTCTTGCCTGCTTCCTGGAGCCGGAAGCCCAGGTCTGCAGCCAGAGGCCCAGGTCTGCAACCACAGGCGTGGTGGCTGCAGCAGCACCTGGAAAGGCAAATCCTGTTTGTTCACAGTTCCCCCAGGAGCACAGGGAGGCTCAGATCCACAGCTGCAGTTTGGACAGCTGTAGCCCTGTCCAGGAGGGCAGGGTTCCTGCTTGCTTCATAGAGCAGGAGGCTTGGGTCTGCAGCAGTTGGCAGCTCCTATCCCAACCCAGAAGGGGTGGGGCTTCCACCTGGGCAACAGAGCAATACTTCACCTCAAAATAATAATAATTTACTGTTGTAGGGTGCAGTGGCTCACACTGTAATCTGAGAACTTTGGGAGGCCAAGGAGGGTGGATCACCTGAATCAGGAGTTCAAGACCAGCCTGGCCAACATAGCGAAGCCCCGTCTACTAAAAATTTAAAAATTAGCCGGGCGTGGTGGTGCACACCTGTAATCCCAGCTACCCAGGAGGTTGAGGCATGAGAATTGCTTGAACCCAGGAGGCAAAGGTTGCAGTGAGCCGAGATCATGCCATTATACTGCAGCCCGGATGACAAGAGTGAAACTCCATCTCAAAAAAAAAAACGAAAACAACACTTTTTAGGTTAGAAAGGAAACAATTTTGAACCATTTTCTTGATGAAGTACAAATGTTATGTGTATGTTATTTTAATGTAAAACTATGGTATTTTATAGTAAATCACTGATTTCCAAAGAGAAGATTAAGTTTTTATTTCCTGCTAAAAGGTCCCCAATCTGTTCATCTCATCTTGAACAAATGCTTACCTCTCAGTACTTTCACATTGCCATAAATATTCTAATACACCATTGCAGGACATTGTCTCCAAAATGCTACCACCCAACTTGTTAAATGTATCAACAATCTTTATTGGCCAGGCACAGTGGTTTAACTCTGTAATCTGAGCACTTTGGAAAGCTGAGGCAGGAGGATCGCTTGAGCCCACGAGTTTGAGACCAGCCTGGGCAACATAGTGAGACCCTATCGCTACAAAAAGATTATTATAAGTAGGCCAGGCACACTGGCTTATGCCTGTAATCCCAGCACTTTGGGAGGCCGAAGTGGGAGGATCACCTGAGGTCTGGAGTTTGAGACCAGCGTGACCAACATGGAAAAACCCCGTCTATAGTAAAAATACAAAATTAGCCAGGCATGGTGGCATATGCTTGTAATTCCAGCTACTTGGGAAGCTGAGGCAGGAGAATCGCTTGAACCCGGGAGGCAGAGGTTGCGATAAGCCGAGATCACGCCATTGCACGCCACCCTGGGCAACAATAGCAAAACTCTGTCTCAAAAAAAATAAAACAAAAAAAATTTAAAAGTAGCTAGTTGTCCACCAGGCATGGTGGCTCATGCCTGTAATCTCAGCACTTTGGGAGGCCAAGGCAGGCGGATCACCTGAGGTCCGGAGTTTGAGTCCAGCATGACCAACATGGCGAAACCCTGTCTCTATTAAAAATACAAAAATTAGCTAGATGTGGTGGCAGGCTCCTGTAGTCCCAGCTACTTGGGAGACTGAGGCAGGAGAATTGCTTGAACCTGGGAGGTGGAGGTTGCAGTGAGTCGAGATCACGCCAGTGCACTCCAGCCTGGGTGACAGAGAGAGACTCTGTTTCAAAAA